TTTTGGTTGCAGCCGTCATTGTTGTTTGGCAGGCCCAGGCTGGGGATTCGAACCCGCCACCTTAGGTGTATGTGGCTGGCGCCTTAGCTGATTGAGCCACAGGTGCCGAGCCTTCGCAAAAGAAATTTAAGTGGCTTATAAACATTCACAAAATGTGTTCAAATCTATTAGTAATCAAAGATATTTAAGCAATATTGAACTTTTGTATGCCAAATTTTTAAAGAATGAGAAATATAATAATAATAATAATGCCCAGCATCTGCATGGGCCCTGTGTACTTCTGTACACTGCAGGTAGGAGAATGACTTGGTACCTCCCCTGAAGAGTGTTTAGTGAGATGCACCAAAATCCTCCAAAAGGCACTTCATGCTTTCACTGGCTAGTCTTTTTAAGGAATTCATCATAAGGGACTAATCATGGATGGGCACAGAACTTCATGATAAAGATACTGCTACAGACTGAATGTTTATACCCCCTCAAATTCATATGCTGAAATCCTGAACCCAGTGTGGCAGCATTAGAGATGGGGTATGGGAGGCAATTAGGTCATGAGGGTGGACCTCTCACAAATGGGATTAGCACCCTTATAAATGAGACCCCGGAGAGCTCTCTCATCCTCTTTCTACTATGTGGGGACACAAGGAGAAGTCAGAAGTCTGCAGCCCAGAAAGGACCCTCACCAGACCCCAACCATGCAGGCACCCTAGTCTCAGACTTCCAGGCTCCAGACTGTAAGAAATAAATTTCTGCTGTTCACCCTGGTCTATGATACTTTCTATAGCAGCCTGAACTGACTAATGGAAATATTAATTGTAACATTACTTATAATTAAAAATTAGAAACCACCTAAATTGCCAATAACTATATAATATAGAGTCATGTAAAATGATGATGTAAAACATTTTTAATGATACATAAAGGTGTCATATTCAGGAAAAATCAGGTTACCAAATAAAATAAAATGATAGGATTCATTAAAATATATTTGTACATATGCAGGCACGTGTGTGTGTATGTGTGCATGTGTGCGGGTATATAGATGTATATTTTATCTATAAAAAATATAGGGACAATTAATAATGGTCCCATCCAGATGGTTGTGGGGCATGGGCCCTTCCCTTTCCCTCTGTCCCCAGCCATGTCTTCCCTACAAGGAGCACACTGACTGGTCAGATTGCCGGCAGCACCCTCATTCCAGAATTAACTAGACAAGTATGTAGCATAATGAAGAACGCCCACAGGAACGGCCTGGCAAGATGGTCATGGATATTCATAAGCAGAAAATGCAAGCTGCAACACACAGTGCATAATCAAATCCCCTTTTTGTAAAACAAACAAACAAAAACCCATAGGGAGTCCTGTCACACACTCACTTACCTTCCACAAATTCAATGACACATGCTCAGAAGACAAGTGCATACCCTGCTGCAGAGCTGGGGCTTTAACCCAGGCGGGTGGCTTCTAAAGCCATGTTGTCTGATAGAGTAGCCACTGGCCACATGTAGCTTTTTAGGTTTAAACTTATTAAAATGAAATTCGAAACTCAGCACCTCAGTAGCGCTAGCCACATCTCAAATGTTCCACAGACACATGTGGTAACTGGATTGGACAGCACAGACAGGGAACAGTTCCATCTCTATGGGAGGTCCCACTGGACTGAACTATCTACTGGACACGCTAAACATCCAAAGGATCATCTGAAGATCTGGCACTGCCTGAGCAGAGGGAGGGGCTCCCTGCAGCCCTCACAAAGGGCTGGGTGACCTCAGGATCCCACTGAGCTCCTGGGGTCTGGTTAACTCCGGCTGAGCCCTGGGTTATGGGATCCCAGAATCCCAGGGGTGATACCACATCTCTGCTCCCCCATCTACACCCACAGAGTCACCTTGGCAATGTTACTCAGCCCCTCCTGCCATGTGGTAGGGTTGGCCATGCTCAAACACATGTTGTGTTCTTGCAACCTGACCAAAGGGCCACGAGTCCCTTGGAGGACCCACATGCTCCTATTCCTTCAACAAGGGACCTCATCACGGAGTCACCAACATTCAATTACTTGTCCCACCATGGTGAGGATACTCAGTTGTCCCTAGCCTCCTGCAAACTGGGGCCAGGAAAGGGGCTTTCCCCTCCTCTCTCTTCCTTTCCCTTGTTTTTGCCTCCCTCACCCAGCTGGCCCACCCTGCTCCCCAGCCCTGCACTCACAGGGTCCTCAAGCCGTCCAGCCCCCGGAACATGCCACTCCGGATGGACTCTAGCTGGTTGGCTGTCAGATGCAGCTCGCTCACGGAGGCTGCACCCTCGAAGGCCCCGTCTTCAATTTCTGATAGCTTGTTGTTGCTCAGGTTTCTGGGAGGGGAGTCAGTGAGGGGATTACACATGGCCTGCTCCCAGGAGCTCCAGCCCCTCCCTTCCTGTATCCAACAGCCCCATGCACAGAGCCCATCCCCCAAAGGGAGCTCCTCCAACCCCATCCCAGGCCAATATCCGATAGGCACCTCCAGCCCATGACCGACTCACATTTTCTTCAGATGTGTAAGTTTTTTAAACATCCCAGTGGCCTCCAGGATGGAAATCTCATTGTTGTTCAATCGTCTGTAAGAGGCAATGAATGAACTTGCACATCCATAAGTGATGGACATCAAAGTATCTTCCTAATTGAAAATATCTGGGACTCAGAGGGGACTCCTGGTAGAATTTATCCGACAAGGCAAGTTGATCCTATTTCAAAGGAAGGCTGGGCCCAGCACTGGGGGAGGAGGTGAACGGGGAAGTCTTTAACATTAAAATGCCATGAACATTTACATACATGAATGAGAGATGTCAGCAGGCATCAATCTATGTGTGTATATATATATGTACACAAATTCATATTTTTAGAGAAATAAAAATAATAAGGAATTTTAGAGTCAGGTCCCCCAAAAGAAGACAAAAGCATTATTGAGGAGTATCACCCCTGGTTCAGGTGGGTGATCTGCCCTGGGTGTCACCGACCGTGTCAGTGGGCAGCTGGCATTCCAGTGGTCCTCCTGACAGGGTTGGACCAGAAGAAAGCTCAGAGTAGACCCAGGAGGGTCAGTGGGAGCTGGGAGTAGGTGAGGGGCGTGGAGGGACTAGGGACCCTTACAGCTCGGCCGTGGACTGAGGGATGCGCTCAGGGATCTTGGTGAGCTTCAGGCTGGAGCACTCCACCACGCTGGCTTCACAGCGGCACTTGTGGGGACAGACGACATCGCTGTTGCACTCGCTGTTCAGGTGGTAATCCTCAGTGCCTGCAGGGAGAGGGCGGCGTCGGGGCTGACAGCAGGGCAGGCTCCTAGCAGCCTGGGCCAACCCAGAGTCAGCGTCTCCCAGGCTCCCAGGCTGTCCACCCACTCCCACTGTCCCCCCAGGCTGGCCTTGGTTCCTGTTTCCTACCTGGAATGAAGTACTGCTCTTTGGCTGGGGAGAGAAGCAGAAACATCATGAGGCAGATACAGCCTAGTCTTGCCCACTGCCCAGTTGAGGGCACCCCAGGAACGCGACTAGGGCTCCAATCAGGGCCTGAGAGCCCACGTGCCCAGCCCCTGCATGCAGAAGGCCTTTCCCTCGCATTCCTCGCCCAGGCCGATGCTGGGGCAGCAGTGCGTCCCAGCTCTCACAGGAGCGTCCAGACCATGGACCTCTCATTTGCAAGGACGTGAGGTGAGACTGTGCTGACTTTGGTGAAGAGCATGGGAGCATCAGCTCTGGCCAGGATCTGGGCTCAGAAGCTGACCTACATGTCCCAGCTGTGGGGACTGCCATTGGGAGGCCGTTTCTGTCGTCCCAAGCCTAAAGGAGGCTCCTATCTCACTGATGACTGTCCCCGGACCTCCCAGGTGTCTTAAAAGGCGTGAAAGCAGGGTATAAACAAGAACTAGCCTGGTCTTCCCTCCAGGACCTGCAGAATGAGGTGATACTGAGCAACCCCTCAGATCCAAGTCTAGCATTCGGACACCCTGGTGACAGTGATCTAGGACACAGCACCTGGTCCCTGAGCAGACTGACGATGGGTAGGCAGGCAGGGGGCAGCTACCTGAGCACCGGAACTTCTTGCTCTTGATCTGCCCAATGCGCTTATTGGCGAGGCGCCGGGGGCTGGCACAGCGGGCCCCGCTCGTCTCGATGGGATTTGTGCGCAGAAAGTCAGCCAGCCACTTGAGGTTACAGTCACAGATGAAAGGGTTCTGGGCCAGATGCCTGTCCAAAGCAGCAGGTCAGCCATCAGAGATGAGGGCTGCAGACCTGTGCTGACCTCCTCCTGCATGAGGCCTCTCTGCTTGTTGGGGCCAAAGCAGCTGCTGGTGGCCTGGAGTCCCAGGCTGGCCATGTGGAGAAACGGGTGTGTCCCACCAGGGTGCACCCTACCACCTGTAGAGCAGTCCTGCTAGCACCCCACAGTTGGAAGAACTCAGCAGCTTCCTGCTGTCCATATCACAGTCCCTGCCAAGCCTCATTCTGTCCCCTTGCTTTCAACCCACCCTGCCCTCCCCTACCCTCATTTCATAAGCACAGGTGGAGGGAGGAGGGGCCTAGAGACTGGCCAGAGCACTGCTGGCCTTTCAGAGGCAGGGAAGCCAAGGCCCAGAGAGGGCTACAGAACCCAGACCCATTGATACCCTGGCCATCACCTTTGACCTTGCCAGCAGCCAGGGCTCTGGTTTGTCCCCTTTCCTGCAATTCAGACTACAGCAGCCTGTGTCCTACAGACCTTCTCCAAGAGGGGTATGAGGCCAGGGGTGGCAGGGCTGGGCCTGCTGGAGTCCCTGGGATTCACAGGGAGTCACCATCCTCTCCCAGCCATAGCAGCTGCCTCTCCTTGTCCATTTTGCAGGCCGACCCTTGACACAAGGAAAACTCAGAAAACATTACTGAGTAGCTCCCTGCTGAGGAATCGTTCATATCCTCTCACTGGGCTGCCTGCAGGCTCAGACGAGCCATATCTGAGCTCCCCAGCAGCAGGTGTGCCCACGTGTGTCTGGGCCACCCCAGCACAGGGCATACCCCCTGCTGGTGGCTGTTCAAACCACGACAGCCAGGGAAGAGCATTCTAGCATCTGTCTGGCTGCCATGCCTGAGAGCCAACGTTTCCACATAGCAGTGCAGTGAGACAGAACAGTAGGCCAGCTCTGAGGGACTCCCCATGCCATAGCCACTCTTCCTCCACCTACCTGCCATCAGTTCAGACCACCTGACTCGTCGGTCTCTGCACAGCCCTCTACTAGAGACTGCAGAACTCTCCAAGCAGAGGTCTATGCCCAGCTCAGTGCAGACCTCAGTCACTCTCTGCCTGTCACTCACCTCCTGGGATCTACCCCTGGCCCCTGGTGGGGATGCTAATGTGGCACTTTGCTGGCCTAGCTGGCTCTGCTACTCCTCTCTGCAGTTTCAAAGGGCAGGGAGCTGGGGAGGAAAAATTCTCAGGAGGAAGGAAAAAAATCTGTCTGATAAAAGATAATCATGTTAAAGGCACACCCAGAAATGTGCTGTGCATGTGGCCACACAGTTCTGTCCCTGAACATTTTTGATAGTGGAAGGAAAGGAAGAGAGGACTGATTCTTACTGTCTTTCTCATAATATGTATTAAAGAGTCACAGTTAAAAAATCTTTGGGGGCAGATTCTCAGCATCATTAATATTAGGGAAACACAAATTAAAATCACACTGAGATACCACTTCATATCCCCTAGGATGGCTATAATCAAAAAGACAAAAAAAAAAAAAAAGCTACAATGCTAATTGTTGATGAGGATGTGGAGAAACTAGAACCCTTTGAATACACTGCAGGTGGAAACATAAATTAGTACAGCTACTTTGGAAAATCCTGGCAGTTTCTTTCAAAGTTAAACATAAATTAACCTTATGACCCAGAAGTCACAAAGGAAATGAAAATGTTTCTTTGCACAAAGATTTATAAATGAATATTCATAGCAGTATTATCCAGAATGACTCCAAAGCAGAAATAATCCAAATGTCCATCATGTAAACAGATAAACAAAATGTGGTCTCTTCATGCAATGGGAAATAGTGCGGCAATGGAAAGGGGGGAAGTCTCAATGTATGCTACAATATGGATGGATCTCAAAAACATTGTGCTAAGTGAAAGGGGCCAGTTACAAAAGATGGTGTGTTACATGATTCCATTTTTATCAAATGTCCAGAAGGGGCAATCTACAGAGATGGAAAATAGATGAGTGATCGCCAGCGGCTAAGTCTGGAAATGGGGATTAATTACAAAAGTGCACAAGGGATTTGGGGGTGGGGCGTGATGGGAATGCTCTAAAATTGAATTGTAATAGTTGAACAACTCTGTGAATTTACTAGAAATCGTGAATTGTACCCTTAGAACAGGTGAGCTTTATGCATGTAAGTCATACCTCAATAAAGCTGTTATTAAAAAAAAAAAAAAAAGTAAAATCTCTTAAGGCAAGTAAAACTGCAGCCAGACCAATACTGTGACCCAGGACACTTGGCCACAGCTCTTGGAGCTAAGGACAAATCAAGCAAGGTTTGGTGAATTTAAATCTGCTCAGATTTGACAAAACAAGAATCGGTGCAAGAGTTTAGCCACTTGAGGTTGTGATAAGAATATCTGATTGCACCTTGGACTAATATTTCTTTTATCCAAGTTCCAAATTGTAGCTTGTTAATATCATAACAGGTGCCCATGAAAGTTCAGTTTTGTTTTACGATCTTAAATAATGAGGTCTATTATTATAGAAAAAGCACAATTGAGAGGGAAGCTAACTAATTTCTTGATGATGCCTAAGATGAAAACCCTACCCTATCAGATGTTCTATAATCTCAACCTCCTTCTGCTTTGGCTTCCTTAAAGATAAAATCAGGGATGATAGAACCTAGCTCATTTTAAGTCTTGAGTAAGGTAATACATGCAAAGAAGAGTGGCTCTGGCTCACATGGGTCTCTCTCTATCCCATCCTGGTCCCTAGCCATTAAATCTCCTTAGCACATTTCTCCTAGACTTTCTGCCAGATGCTTAAAATAATCCACCTTGCCAATGTCTCCCTGTAACCTCTAATTTCACATACTTGGCAAGGTTTCCCGATGGGGTTCCATCTTCCTCTCCCTGGCTATAAGTAAATTAATTAGCAGGAGTCAGGCTATAGGCAAATGCGTGGGCTGTAATGAGTTTGTCTTTGTGGCTGACGTCTCTGTTGACATGAAGAGTCCCCAGGGAGCAGGAGCTGCTGTACCTTTTACCCAACCTGCTTTGAACCTAGATAAGCATCCCATGCAGATATTATCTGATGGAGAACACTGCCCAGCATATACAGTGGCAGGGATGACAATGACAACAATGGCCACAATATTAAACATCAATGCCAATTAAGCACACACCACAGGACCCACAGGTCAACACATCCAGGCAAACTGCCGGCTCAGAATTAAAGATGTAGAAAGAAAGAGACCCCATGAGTTCCTAAGTTTAACCACTGAGCAGGCGAGGAGAAGTTTCCCTAAATGGAAGCATTCCAGCTAAAAGATAAGAACTCTTTTCTTAAAGCATAACCACAACAGCAATAGCCAACGAAGAAGGAATGTTATAATTCATATATTACCATTTCAGGATCCCTAAGGAACGGATGAGTCCAGGCGTTGAGATCAATGGCTGTTTTTATTACAAAAACAGAGGCTCTCAGACAGCCTGTGTTTCCTGATGGGAAGTACGCATTCCTGCACACATAGTCATCTTGCCAACAAATAAATAAATGAATAAAATCTGAACCTGACCCAGCTCTTGGATCCAGTTTTCAGAACATAGAGAGGACAGAGGAACATGTGAAACTACAGCACGGAGAAGCAATCAGCAAAGTCCAGATCCCACAGAACCAGGGATGCAGTGTCTTCAACAAATAAGATGCGAGGGGAAAAGGAGATGGAGCAGATTCCAATAGGTTAAAATTTATGGGCTATATCATCCAACATTAGCCCATTGAGTTGTATAAGCCTTATTTAAATTCTCATTTCAAGCTATAAAATTGTATGAGACACTCAGAAATTTGAACACTAATTAGATATTTGATGATATTAAGGAATTATTAAATTTTTTAGATACATTGATAGTGTCTTGGTTGTGTTTTTATTTTATTTTATTTTATTTTTGAGACAGGTCGCCCTCCTTAGAGTGCTAGGGTGTCACAGCTCACAGCAACCTCAAACTCTTGGGCTTAAACAATTCTCTTGCCTCAGCCTCCCAAGTGGCTAGGACTACAGGTGTCCGCCACAATGCTCAGCTATTTTTTGTTGCAGTTGTCATTGTTGTTTAGCTGGCTCGGGCTGGGTTCGAACCCACCACTCTCAGTGTATGTGGCTGGCACAGTAACCACTGTGCTATAGGCGCTGAGCTGTGGTTGTGTTTTTAAAAGATTCTTTTCTTAGGCTGGGCATGGTGCCTCATACCTATAATCCCAGCACTCCGGGAGGCCAAGGTAGGTGGATTGCTTGAGCTCATGAGTTTGAGACCAGCCTGAGTAAGAGTGAGACCCTATCTCTAAAAATAGGTGGGCGCTGTGGTGGGTGCCTATAGTCCCAGCTACTTGGGAGGCTGAGGCAAGAGGATAGCTCGAGCCTAAGAATTTGAGGTTGCTGTGAGCTACAACGCCTTGGCACTCTACCAAATGCGACAAAGTGAGACTCTGTCTCAAAAAAAATATATATTCTTGTCTTTTAGAGATACATATGAGGTCTGTGTAGATGACATATGATGCCTGGGATTTGCTCCAAAATAGTTTGGGTGGCATGGTGAGGGGCTACAGAGGAAACAGGAATGGATAGGGTTGGGGGATGAACACCTGGATGCTCATTATCTTGTATGGTATAATTTTCCACCATACAAGATTATAAAAAATTACTACATTTATTGCTCTCTAATTTTTAATTTTAGTCATCATTGTTATTACTATATTTCATCTGATTTGACATTATGAATTGCAAGATGCTCTATTATTTTATGTTCTTTGTTCAATAAAGAACAAAAATGCTGCAAATTAAATGATATGCCATTGATTATAATATGTATCCCAATTTTAGACTGTCAATGTGGAAACATGTCTTAGAATCAATGGGCTTATTATAATTACTATCATCATGATTGTTACTAACTGCAGTCATTTACAATGAGCTAAACTTTGTACAAGCATCTCCTTTAATTTCATAATAACTCTATGAAGAAGGTGTCCCAGTTTTATGGATTAATAAAAATGAGGCCCAGAGAAGCCAGTTAATTTTCCCAAGGTCACACAGCATACCTAGGATTTTAAACCCAGAGTCTGTGACTTTCCTCTGGAAGAGACCACTCCCAGGGAGCATGGGAGTCCAGGGCAGGACAGCTGCCTGAACCATGAGGCTATAATGGCCCCTCTTCATGAGGCCCATGTACCAGGAGCCTTTCTGCAGGAAGGGAAAGGGGGAGGGCAGGGAGGCACTCACAGTGTCTGAATGGCCCGCAGGGAGGTGAAGGTCCCTTTGGCAAGACTCTGGATCTTGTTGTCATACAGGGAGAGCAGTGAGAGATTCTGCAGGTCCTGGAAGGCATCAGGCCGGATACAGTTGATCTTGTTGGCATTCAGGAGGCTGTAGGTGGAGCCAGGGCCAGGGAGTGAGGGGTAAGGCATGGGACTAGACTCATCACATGTTGTGGGCACCTTTCTGGGCCTGGGCATGCATTACTGCAGGGAGGGGCCTGCTGGATGTGCAGTCCATGCAAAGGAGCTGGGCCCTGCAGTGGCCCTCTCTAGGACAGGGCATCTCAGTCCACTGTCTCCCACTCCTCTCTTTGAAGGACCTGCTAGAGATGCCCTGCAGGATTCTGGGAAGGCAGACAGCCACCAAAGGCTTTCTGGTGCCTCCTTCTCCTTCCCAGATTTTTGCTAGCTTCTGAGATCCTATTTGTTTTTAGTGCCTCTTGGGTCCTGGGAGAAAAGGTACTCCTAGAAGCTCATGGTTTAAAGAGGCTGAGCTGACCTGGGTGCCCCACTGCAGAAACAGGTCTGTTCCCAGCCACACAGAGTCTCAGAGGCATGGGCCAAGTCTCAGGAGCTCCTCTGCTCCAGCATCCTGCCAGCAGCTCTGAATCCTCCTCTGCCTCTCTCTTTGGCCTCTGCAGAGCCCTTCAGCCTCTTTCATCCCTACCAGGTCTGCCTATCTTCCCAGCTCCTTGCCTCCAGTGAGTCTCATACTTCAAAGAGAATAAAAGGGACAGTCTGGCCAGAAGAATGCTGTTCCCCCTCCCACTCCTGGGTCCCACCCAAAGATACCCTAGGACTGGTCCTTACAGGAGCTGTAGGGTGTACAGGCCTCCAAACACACCTCGGGGGAGGTCTGTGATCTTGTTCCCATAGAGAACCCTGGAGAAAAGGCAGATGAGAGGAAGGGGTTAGAAGACAGCCCCCTAGGGCCCTGGCAGAGCCCTGCAGGTGCTCCTCCCCAATGGCACCACCTGTAGGCCCTTTACATTTCCCAAATTCTAATGGTGTGTGTTACAGCAACTTGCCCCCAGATGGCAGTAAAGTGTCTTGAGAAAGGGTCTCCAGTTGCTACTTTGCATAAAGACACCCTGTGGGATGGAGGGAGGCAGCCCTGGTCCTTACCGTGGACCCCATGGAAGCCTGCAAAGGGCCTTTCCGGGGAACCTCATGGGAAATTAACCTGCTCCAGAATCTAAAAGGAGACTGTCAAAAGAAGGGAAAACCCCATGGGTGGGAATAATTAACATAGTTTTGCAAAGTTACAGGGGAAAAAATAGAATGCCAGACAGCACTGTGCAATATGAAACTTCAAGTGTTTTTTCTTTTTAATGCTTTATTATTTTCAAAGTGTTCTGTATTGAGCATGAATTCCATGTATAATCGGGGGGGAAAGCAGAAGTTCACAAAACACATGCAACAAAAATGGGTTCAGACAGAAGGTAAAAGCACCCAGAGGGCTTGGGGAGGGGGTCGTATTGCATTCCTAATGTCGTGATCAGATCCCCACAAGCTACCCTGTCACAGTTCACACTGAGTGAAAAGCCCCGTGTGCTGCTCACACATGGCTGCTAGCTCAGTCCAGGAGGACGCCACAGGAATAAAGGCTTTGCAGTGGGATCTGGATCCGCACAGGTGGAGAGCTGACAAGGCTCGTGTGGCTTGAGTGGAAGAGAGAAATGGGACAGAAGCTTGGATTTTGCCCAGTTAGCATCAGGAAGCCATGGGGCCAGGACCAGATTCCATTTCAAAGTCTCTCAACCTGCTGTGTGAAGAACAAAGCAGAGGAAGCAGGAATTGGAGCAGGGACATAAGGTCAGGGGTGGCCAAGGTGGACACTGTCGATGGGGCCTATTGGATGATCTCAGGATGCAGGTTCCTGTATGCTGGGGCAGTGCTGTGACCAAGTTCCCATAAAGCAACAGAAACTCACTTATATGGGTTATTTCATCTTTCACCCCTTCAAACTACCACATTCCAACTTGAGAGAGTGTTACTTCTCAGAGGAAGAGTGCTGCATTTTGGCAGGCCGCCTCCAGGATCTGGTCTCCTCAGCTAATGACAATGACTTATCAGCAGGCTGTTATGTACAGCTGTGTAGGTTGTACACTGCACAACTTCAGGGTGCCCCGCACTCCCCAGTGGTGGGGTCTATTCTGTTCCACTTGTCAAGGCTCTAATCTATGCCAACCATGTGTCCGGTGCTGCCAGGGAGCAGGTGAACAAGTAACAAACTGCCACTAGTGTGGGAAGTTTGCCCAATGACAGAGCACTCTCTGAGTAGACAAAGTGGTGTGGGGCCTCAGAGAGTGAGGGGCTTGGTGAACTGGGAGGTGTAAACAAAGGTTCCTGGGAAAAGCCCATCTTCCCTGCCTACGGCATGTTCCATGGACAGACACGGCCCCGCCTCCCCCGTAGACCCTGAGGGAAGGGAAATACTGGAAAGGAGTAGAGCAGCCCTTCTCAGCCTGTGGGTTGCGACCCCTTTGTAACCATGAAAATACATCCTGCATATCAGATATTTACATTACAATTCATAACAGTAGCAAAATTAAAGTTATGAAGTAGCAACAAAAATAATTTTATGGGTGGGAGGTCACCACAACATGAGAGACTGTATTAAAGGGTCGTGGCATTAGGAAGGTTGAGAACCACTGAGGTAGAGAAAAACACCACCCCACATCTTGGGATTAATCACATTTGAGATAAAAGATAACAAAGTGTGGCAGATGTCATAGCTGAAGCCAGAGCCCAGGCCGGGGGTGCACATGGTGTAGGGAGGCAGGGCCATGATGGCTGCTGCAAAGAATGCTAGGAAAATCCCCACCCTGGCAGGGACAGCATCCCAAGTTCCAGGGAGAGCGTCCATGCTCTCAGCCCTAGAGTCCCTTCTCCTATCCCAGCCAGTAAGAAGAGGGAGCTGAGCTCAGCAAGCTCTTTACTGTCAGAGGGGACCTGCTGAGGAGAGGGGGCGCAGCCCTGCTCTTCCTCCCACACCCACCAGAAGGGGCACAAGGGACCTGGTGGTGCTACTCACAGTGAGTTCAGGGAGCGGAGGCCCTGGAAGGCGTCAGGAGCGATCTCTGCAATCTGGTTGTTGCTCAGGTCTCTGCAAAGTGAGCAGGAGGAGAGAGGACATCTGAATCCTTCAGCGGCCACTGCCCCTGTCTGGTCCTCCCTACCTCCTAGACACCATGATGCAAGGGAAGCAGGGTTTTTTTTGAAATTAAAAAAGTGAGGGGCCAGTTCTTCCATCCAGCTGAAAAATCCATGGGCCACTATTGCCCATGGACTCTGAGGGTTGTACAGGTGGGGGCGCTCCAGCTTGGGACCTTAGGGCACCTATCCTGACTATCCCCTACGGCCCCCTCCCATCCTTAATTGCTCGTATAGGTGCCTACACAGAAATGGAGGATAACCACCTCTGGCACATGCCAGACTCAGCTCAATATCCCATTCAGGCCTCAGGGCCACACTGCGATATCCCCAGATCACAGACAAGCAGCCTGAGGGTGGCTAGCCCAGGGCTACTCAGCTGTGAGGGGCTGAGTCAGGACCTGGTACAGAGGTATCAGGCGCCTGGTCTAGGCTTTTCCTCCTGCCCTGCATTGGCAGAGAGAGGCACTCACATCCTCCGCAGCTTTCTGTAGGGAGAGAAGGCTCCCGGGGGGATGGACTTGATACCATTGAGCTCCAGGCGGCTGGAGAGAGAACAGAGGGGAAGTACAAGGGCCAAGGTCACCACCACCCTGGGCATTGTCTGCTGGGCTCACCCACCCCAAACGCACCCTTGCCCCCTCCTGTCCCTGCTCCCTTCCCCGTTCTAGAAGCTGAAGGCTGGGAGAGGTGTGCTGGCATAGGCAGAAAAAAGCTGTGATGTGAGTTCCATTATCCCAGACTCCGTGGCTACAAGGCAGCCACAAATGATGCTAAGAAACCAATTCTGGTAAGACTCACTCAGCTGTGCTGGACAAATGGACCACAGAGGGATTCCCCTTTCCAGCCCCCTCAGCCCAGGGAGGCAAACTGTGTCTTCTCCATTTGCCACTGAGGGGCTTCAGAGCCAGTCCTGGAGCCAGCTCTGCACATACCACCAGAGCTAGCCCATCTGCAGGAGCCTGTGTTCGAGCGTCTGCCCTGCCCTGCCCTGTACTCACATCTCCGTCATGGTCTCAGGCAGGTTGGCAGGGATGGCAGTGAGGCCTTTGCCACGACAGTCCACAATGCCGTTGCTGCAGGTACACATGGCCGGGCAGGAGCCAGAGGAGAGGGTACAGGTGGGCATGCGCCCTGCCTCCCCCTGGCCTGCAGAAACAGGGGGATGTAACCTCAGGGTGTCCTGCATCAACACCTCCCTCCCCAGACACAGACTGATGGGTGAGGACAGGGTGCACAGTGGCAGTTTCCTGGATGAGGATGAGCCAATATCACCAAAGAAATAGGAGATTTAGAATTTGATGTAACTCTGTGGGAGCATGGCACCTAGTCGCAGGTACTTGTCAGCTGAACTTAAACCTGAATTGTGCACCACAGTCTGAATCCTGGTCTAGAATTCCAGTACTTCAGTTTCTGGTCCAAGTCACTTAACATTTGTGAGCCTGAGGCACCTTCCATCACGAGAGGATACCAAGGACTGTTTACTGAGCGCTCACTCTGTGCCACGTTGTGATCAGTATCACATATAAACCTAAAGAAGGGACAGGTACAGTGGTTCATGCCTGTAATTTTAGCATTCTGGGAGGCCGAGGCAGGTGGATTGACTGAGCTCAGAAGTTCAAGAGTAGCCTGAGCAAGAGTGAGACCCCCATCTTTACTAAAAATAGAAAAATTAATCAGAGATGTGGCAGGTGCCTATAGTCCCAGCTACTCGGGAGACTGAGGCAGGAGGATCACTTGAGCCCAGAAGTTTTGAGGTTGCTGGGAGTTAGGCTGAGGTCACAGCACTCTAGCTCAGGTAAGAGAGCAAGACTTTGTCTCAAAAAGATCATAAATAAATAAAATAAAAATAAACGCTAAGAGGACCTTATTATTGTTGCCATTATATTAGTGAGAAAATGGAATCCTCAATATTAATTAATTTGTAGAAATTCTCACAGCTAATAGGTAGTGAAACCAAGATTGAGCCTAGTGTCTGAAATAGGAACCTTTTTAAAAACTGAAGCATAATTTATACAAAGTGCATAATCTTAAGTGTGTAGCTGGTTGAACCATCACCCAGACGTGGAACATTTCCATTATCCAACAAGGTTCTCTCCTGCCTCTTCCCCTAAGTAATCACTGTTGTGAGCTCTACACCAAAGATTTGTTCTGCTTGCTTGTGAACGTCACATAAATGAAATTACTAGTAGGTTCTATTTTGTGTCTGGCTTTTTTTTTTCTTTTGCTTAATATAAAAATCTCTGAGATTCACCAAGTTATGTATATCAGTAGTTTGTTCTTTTTTATCTCATTAAATGGATATATCATAATTAGGCAATCCATTCTCTTGTTGGTGGACATCTGGGTTTTGTGTCCAACTTCGGGCCATTATGGAAAATGCCTTGAATACTCTTGGACTTTTGGTAGAAGGAAATGCACATACGTAGCATTGGAGTCATGGGGTGAAGACGTTGGGCTCCAGTGGATCCTGCTAGCCAGTTCTGCAAAGCAGCTGAGCCAATTTACAGTCCTACCAGCAATCTAACCTCTAATACATTCCCAGGTTACCCCCAACAGTGGCCACCAAAACCAAATGACAGAAAGTTTCTGAGAATTCCTGAAAAATTGTGACAGTGCCCTTCTCAGAAAAGGGTTTACCAAGGTGAACCAACTCTAGAAGAGAAAATAATGTCTGAATGTAAATACCAAGGTCTTCCAAATACAAAGAAAAATATTTCATTTCAAAGTAAAAATTGTCCAAGTGAGCTCTCCCTTCCTTCCTATTCCTAAAACCTGTGGTAGCTGCGTGCATACATGTGGGGCACCCACTCACATACTCCTGCACACATGCTCACTCAGATGCATGCACACATGCACACACACTCCCACACAGCAGTTCTGAGCACAGCCATGTCTCAGGAGTCTGTCAGCGCAATGGAAAAGGTGACAGCCACCCCCCAGAGCCTCACACCAAGGGAGGCCCCGGGGCTGGGCCTAGGAGATGGTTTCCTTCAGGACTCAGTGTGACTGGCAGGCCCAGAGTCCAGTAGTGTGAGAGGAACTCTCAGCCCCTAAGTCTTCTAACCCAGCAAACATTCCTTGCTCATCTATACATGCCAAGCACAGGCAAAGTGCTGAGGATGTGAACAGGAACACCAGACGCACACTCCATGTGCTCACGGAGTCTGTTGGGTAAGGTGACCAGATTTTAATATTGGTAAAGCAGGACACCATTGGGCTGGGGGGAGGGCAGGCTACTGTCCGAGCTGTTTATGGTTAGGGACCCTCTTAAGAGGGGGGACTACTTGTTTGTTCCAGACAGTTTGGCTCCTTCTGAGCTAATTGTCCTTGCCTAGTTAGTATCCTTCTGATACTAACGCCACCTGGGCGACCTTGCCCAGGAGGGGAGTAGGGAGTTTACATTAGCCTTTTCATTCCCAAATGGAGTTACATTAACCTTTTCAGCAGCCAAAACCGTAAATTCCCTTCCCATTCTCCTGCGGTTCCCTAGCTTGTTCTGCATTCTTTCCAAAAATCAAGACTTTTTAAAAATGCTGTGGGACACGGGACAAATTGTTAAAAATTGGGACTGTCCCACCATAAGTGGGACATCTGGTCACCTTACTGTTGGCGGACCTCATCTGGGGTCATAGAAGTCTCCCAGGGCTTTGCAGGATGAGGGGGACTGGGCAGGCAACAAAGAGGGCAGGGCTACCCAACAGGGGAACTGCCTGTGAGAAGCCGGGGTGGGAGACAGCTGCTCCAGGAAGGGACAGAGGCTGGGACACAGGGAGTGAGGAGCCTGTGGGCAGGGGGAGGCAAGGCTGGTCCAGCCCAGACTCTGGCAGGAGCACTGGGGAGCACTTGGCAGCAGTGACCCAGATTGTGGGTTCCTTTAGGCCTTCCTGACTATAGCAGAGAGATCAATGGGGACAGGGAAGAAATGGACGACCCATCAGGGGGCTGTCCTGCCACCCCAGGTGGAAAGTGAAGGGGCAGGGGCTCTGAGGTCTACCTGGAACCAAGGTTCGAGGGCCAGTTCAATGACTTGTCAAAGTCGCAGAGGTGAAGCCATGGGAGGAAGGGAGAGAGGTGGACATAACAGGGGACAAGGAATAGGGAGGGGCGGAGTGCTGGTGAGAGGCCAGGAGGAGATGGGAGGAGACACTGGGCAGATACAGAAAGAGCAGAGGGTGAGACAGAAGGGGACAGCGAGTGGAGGAGGCAGTGGAGGCAGAGGGGGAAAGGACAGAAGGCAAGAGACTGTAGAGACAAAGCCCATAGAAGGGAACGGGGGTGATGGGCGGAGACAGAAAGTGATGATGGGTGGGGACAGGAGGTGGTGGGTGGATCCATGATGGGCGGGACAAGAGGTTACTGGTGGGAATGAGAGGGAACCAGAAGTGTGAACAGGAGGAAGAAATGGGTGAGGCAGGAGACTCTGAGCAGTTGAGAGCTTAGCAGAGGCCTGAACCCACCTGAGCAGCTGAACTCGCTCTTCTGGACCTCGGCCACGTTGAGGCCACGCAGGCTGGCGGGGCCAGAGCACTGGGTGAAGAGCCCGATGGTTGGCCGCTGCCTCAGCCACTGCGAGAGCCAGGCCAGGTGGCAGTCACAGAACAGGTGGTTGGAGTGCAAGCGGCTGCAGGAGGACAGTTTGGCTCTCAATCGAGCTGGATCCCCAGCCCCAGCCAGACAACGCGAACCCGCCACCCAGGCAGGAGGCCACCCCCAGTTCTGCCCAGGAGAGCCACCCCACAGTGAAGACCCCAGCAGCTTCCCCTTCCGTCAGCATGCTGGGGGCACACCTGCGGCTGGAGTGTGTCCAGCAAATATTGGTTGATCTCATGAGCTCATAGATTCACTGCCCCAAATCACCTGACTCATCTTCAAACACAAAAATAAATCATTTGTGTTCCAAGAAAAATCAAATGTAAATAACATGGGATGCCCTGCAATTTTAGAGCACACCCACCCCTCCAGCTCTGCTGAGGCCCCACCCTGCGGGCCTCTGGGGGTTTGGGGGAGGAGGAGCTCTGGCCCCTGCCCTCAGAAGCCTTCCCTAGGTCCCAGGCCACTCTGCTTCCAGCTTCCCCTGACTAACTCACAAGGTCCGGAGCTTGGGCATGTGGTTGAAGCTGGACACAGGAATGGTGGTGATGTTGTTGTTGTTCAGGGTCCTAAAATGGAAAGAGTCCTTTAGCATCATCCAGCAGGAGCTTACCTGGGATGGGGCTAATAAACGGGGAGGATCTCACACCTGTGCTGGACCAGTGGGCTTGAAAGGGAGAGAAGGGCAGGGAGGGAGAGCGCTATATTGAAGAACACAAGATGGGGAGGACCCACCCTAGGAGAATATCCTGAGCCAGGACAGTAACTGCTGTCAGCCAATTGTACCATGACAGCAAGTGGGGGGAGGTGGCATGGTGCTGGGAGAGGGGTAGATCCTTCCCTGGCTTGGGCTAGCTTGGAAGAAAGGGTGAGGAGTAGACAGAAGCAAAAGGGAAAGGCATTCCCGCCTCAGGTGTCAGAATCTCTGGACCACACACCCAGCCAGCCTGGGCTTCACTGCCACAGGCATGATGCAGGAGCTCCTGTGGTCCCCTCATGCCAGCAACTCTAGGAGAGCAGGTCTGCTGCCCCCATGCTCCCTGGTCCCACTGCCTGGGTCCCCCAGCACCTACTATGCAGAACACAGAAGGGGACCCCCTTCCTTCCCAGTGTGGTACTTACAGCACCTCCAGCCCCCGCAGAGCCCGGAAGGCCCCTTCCTCGATGCAGCTGATCTGGTTCTTGTCCAGCTGTCTGTGAAGCAAAGGAAGGTTGTAGACAGGAGGGCACATTGCCTAGAATATGCATGTCCAAACATTTTGAACAAGCACTCCATTAGTTTAAAAAAAGAGGTCCAATAGTAAATATTAATAAAAGCTTAAGGCCAGGTGAGGTGGCTCACGCCTGTAATTCTAGCACTCTGGGAGGCTGAGACGGGTGGATTGCTTGGGCTCAGGAATTGGAGACCAGCCTGAGCAGGAGCTACTAAAATAGAAAAATTACTCTACTAAAATAGAAAAATTAGCCGGACATTCTGGTGAGCACCTGTAGTTCCAGCTATTCCAGAAGCTGAGGCATGAGGATTACTTGAGCCCACCCACAGCACTCAACCCCAGGGTGATAGAGACAGCTAGTCCCAGCTTGAGACTCTGTCTCAAAAAAATTAAATAAATAAATAAATAAATAGCTCTTTTTCCCCTTATTTGCGGTTAATACATGTAAATACAAGTTATACGTATTAGATTCTTCTACCCAATCTGTGTATCCCCTGGGGAGGAAGCACCCCCACACCATATTTTGGAGAACACCTAGAGGGTGCCGGTAGCTGAAAAACGAGAGAGCATCCCACAGGACCAGTGGCAGCCAGAGCTGGCAAACAGTTCAGCCTGACGGTCAAAGATTGACAAGAGGTTGCTGCTTTCAGAACAACTGAAGCTGTGACGTGAGCTCTGTGGGAAAGAATGTGGTGATAGATTACCAATGTCTGCCCTGGTCAGGGAATGGGAGGTGTGAAAAGCATGCCAGACATTTATTTGCCCCTCCTGCAAATGGCAAGGTGGTAAGCCTGGACCAGAATAAATCTGAATAAAATAATAAACCATTACATCTAAATAGCACTTGACAAAGCGTATTCATTTTGATCTCATTTAAGCCTCAGAACAAGCCTGTGAAGTAGATATTATTATCCCCATTTTCCAGAACAATATCTTGAGGCTCAGTGAACTTAGCTGACTTGCAGCAGCTTATATGATGTGTAACTAGAGAAGAAAATTCACATCCAATTCTCCCAGTCCAGACAGGGGGGTGGGCACTGCCAGGCAGGGGCACAGAGGCCATGTAAACATCACCTGTGAACCCTATGATTCTTTTTTTTTTTTTGAGACAGAGCCTCAAGCTGTCACCCTTGTGACTCTGTGATGTGAGCTGGCATCACAGTTCACAGTAACCTTCAACTCCTGGGCTTAAGTGATTCTCTTGCCTCAGCCTCCCGAGTAGCTGGGACTACAGGGGCCCATAACAATGCCTGGCTGTTTTTTTGTTGTAGTTGTCATTGTTGTTTGGCAGGCCCAGGCTGGATTCAAACCCTCTAGCTCTGGTGTATGTGGCTGGCACCCTAGTCGCTTGAGCTACAGGCACCAAGCCAACCCTATGATTCTTTTTTTTTTTTTTTTTTTTTGGCCAGGGCCAGGTTTGAGCCTGCCACCCCTGGTATATGGGGCTGGCTTCCCAACCCTATGATTCTTGACACTCTCCAACCTGATCCCCAAGGGCTCCCTCTGAGCATTTGCTTGGCTCTCACACAAAATCATACCTCAGGGAGAGGTAGATGCTGCCTGTTTCCTCCACAGGAAGGATTGTTCCAGAAGACAATGCCGGCCATCAAGAGCCCAGGTCATCTCCTTGGCTGCCTGAACCGCACAGCCCTGGGAGACCTGAGACTGGAAAGGCCCTGTGCCCTTCTGCCTCCCAGCCCATACTCACAGATTTTTGAGGTCTGTAGCTCCACGAAAAGCTTTCCTGGGGATGGCCTGGATGGCATTCTCGCTCAGGTCCCTAGGGGATAAAGCCAGAGGGAGAAAAAGTACTGGTCAGAGAAGAGACGCCCCGGAGTGCCATGATGAGTCAGGGAGATGAGGGCCACACAGCACCTGGACTGGTCATTACTGCCTTCCAGCACCTGGGACAGTGCCTGGCACACAATAGCCACTCGGTAAGCTCTTAGGGACTAATGGACGAATGGATGAACGAATGATGGATCTGGAGAGAGGCAGCCTGTCCTGGAGGGAGCTCGGTCCCCCACTACCTCCCTTCTCTGGGCAGAGGGGCTGCAGCTGGAGGCAGAAGGCTGGCCCAGCTGTGTCCAGCCCTGCCAGACCCCAACCCTGTCCACCAGACCCACAGAGGTCAGCTCAGCCCCCATGGCACTGCAAATATGGGCAGCAAGCAAGGGGGGCTTCTTGGTGACCCACAGTGGTCCTGGGTCATCTGGGGCGAGTGTACCTGGGCCTCATGTCTGTCTTACTGATGATGGAGCTGAGGAGACACAACTGACTTCCCAATAACCCAGCTAGCAAGTGGCTGACCCACATGCACCTTAAGAGCCCGGCGTGTACCCATGGCCCATACGGGCCTGAGGCTGCAGCACTGCTCCTTCGAAGCCCTGTCCTGTGGCTCGGAGGGCAGGGATCATGTTACTGTCCTGACATGAGGGGAAAGGCACTGTAGGGACTCTGCAAATCCCTGTCCTTGGCAAGCACCAGGCCAGTTTCTAGACCAGTGGTTCTCAACCTGTGGGTCACTACCCACAGGAACTGTATTAAAGGGCCACGGCATTAGGAAGGTTGAAAACCATTGTTCTAGACCCTTCCTGTGGCCCTCTGTAGGATTGGGCCTCTAGCACCCGTCCAGCTGACTCTCTTGCCCTGTCAGCAGCCCCACCAGCACCTGCAGCAGATGTGTGCAAATGCCCCTTTCCAGGTGGGCTTTTCCTTCTCACAGTGGTGGTAAAAAGCAGGCTCTGAGCGTGTCCCCACCAGCTGCACTGGTTCAAAGGAGGAAGGGGAAGCTCAGAGAAGTTAAGCAACTTCTAGGTAACCCCACACAGCAGCACTGGGAGTGGGAATTTTTATCCCACTCATTTTGCAGAGGAAGGAATTGAGCTCCAAGATACCAAGTAATTTGCCTGAGGTTGGACTAGGTGGGGACCCATACCATGTGCCCCCAGCCTCGCAGACACACTCGAGGTGTCAGGTGGACACCCAGAGACTGACTACCCTGACATGGGATCCCGGTGCTGGGCAGTTCTGCAGAACCCCCTTCTCCTGAGCCAGTCCCTTCTTTCAGTCCCTCACCCACAGGACCTGAGAACACAGCTCACAGCAGGAGCCCCCGCCACTGCCTGGGTTTTCCTGTTGAGACAAACCAGGCATGCCACAGCACTGTGCACAGGGGCCCTGGACGGAGAGGCAGAGCTCCAGCCCCGGCCCTCCCGCATGCTGGCTGTGTACCTGCAAGTCAGCCCTTTCCCTCCAGAGCTCCAGCTTCCTTGTGTACAAAGTAGGGGGAATAAGAGCCTGGCAAAGTGATTGCCCCACAACCTCCCATGTCTGTGCCTTCTCTCCCCAAACTCCAGTCCCTCTGTCTCCCTAACTGGCAGCCTTCAGGAAACCAGCTAGGCAGCTGTGGTCTGCAGGGGCTTTGCCACCATCAGTGTCCCCCTCCCTCCACTCTCTCTCTCCTTGAAAGATGGCATCTCAAGCCTGCAAAACAAACCCAGCTTTCTCTTCTACACAACTACAGGCAGTCCCTGAGATACAACTTGCACTTAGGAACAGATGCTATTACAATAAATCCCCAAGTTACAAACAGCCAACTGACATACAACTTACACTTATGAACAGATGCTTTAACAGGTAATAGGCAGATGTTCCTCTTCTAAATTACATCAAATTCAACTTAAGAACAAACCTACAAAAACTATCTTGTTCATAACCTGGGGACCGCCTGTGTCCCACCTTCTGTTCCTGACTGGGTCTTGCTTCCCTGCGGCCTGACACTCAGACACTCGCTTCTTCTCCCAGCCTCAGCTGCCTCATTTGTCAAATTTGTAGGCTGGACCAGATGGTCTCTAAGTCTCCCCACCCATGGAGACCAACCTACATGCCAAGACTCCCAGACACATTACTATTGTTTGAATGTTTGTGTGTCCCACAAATTCAAGTGTTGAAACCTAATCCCCAAAGTGATGATATTAAGAGGTGGGGGTCTGAGGGAAGTGATTTGGTCATGAAGACTCCACTCCTATTACTGCCCTTATAAAAGAGGTCCCAAGAGCTGCCTTGTCCCCCTCATCATGTAAAATGAGCCAGTTGGCGCCACCTATGAACCGAGAAGCAGCCCTCACAACACACTAAATCTGCCAGCACCTTGTTCTTGGATGTCTCACCTCCAGAACAGTGAGAAATACACTGCTGTTATTTATAAGCCTCTGGTCTGTGGTATTTTGTTACAGATGCCTGAAAAGATTAAGACAGGCATCAGGTGGGGTGCTTGGTTCTTCGGGGCTTCTGGGATCCCAGGGAGGAAGGAGGGAAAGTTGACTTCTGAGGGGAGGGCTGGGAGAAGATGGACACAGCCACGCGCCTTCTCCCGGGGTGCACGTGCTGTGAAGGACGGGGCCAGAGACTTCCACAGAGTTGGGGCAGCGGCCCCAGCTGAGCCTGGCAGGGACCTCGGGCCAGCACTTACATTCACTACTCCATCGATCCTTCCCACAACCCTGCAAGGAAGGTTTTTGTTTGTATTGATTAGCTTATTGACTTAGACCTGACTTTGTTCCAGAGAGGCTTTAAAAGGTAGCTTGGAGGGACTTACAGAACAGCAAGAGAGCAGGAGGAAAAATGGGGCCAAGAGAAGAATCAATAGCAGTGCTAGGAAAACACCCCCCCTCTGACCCACATACCAGCTGCTGCCGGGGCAGGGGCAGGAGCAGGTTCCAAGATTTCCCACCAACTGCACTCGAAAGGGGAAGTGGCAGTGTGCAGCATCCACAATACACGGTTAAGCTTAAAACTATCAGCATCTCAGGAACACCACTGTTTGGGTACTGAGATGAGATAAGAATGTTCCCAGAGGTCTTTATAAAAATAACAGTGTGGCCTGATCAATATCACTAGGTCCTTGGAATAAATGGGGTTCAAGTGGATGTTTCTTATAATAGCATTGCATCAATGTGCAATTCAGCAAAAGCAATTCTGTAGGGACTCACATCAGGAACTAAGTGGCGGGGAGAGAGAAGGTAAGAGGCAGGTCTCAGGGCAGGACATGGCGGCAGAGAGAGTCTGCCATACTGGGGAGCACCAGAGGGGCTGGGAAGAAAGTGTTAGCAGTAAAAGCCCTGCAGGCCAGGAGAGGTGGCAGGATAGACCAGAGAAGGATGTGAGTGACCATCTTTTAGGCTTTTCTTTGGGGGCGTGAACACCTACAGAGGAGAGACACAGCCCCCAGGCAGGTAGGTGCCTGGTGATGCTGACACCAAGAACCGGTTAGGAGAAGAAGGTCCAAAGGTAGGTGCAGAGCTGACCCTGCCGGGCAAGTTCAAGCCCAGCCAGGGCCAGCCCACAACAAAAAGCAGTTCACATTGTTTAAGCAAATGACAGAAACTGAACATGGGACCCAGGAGAGGCCAATGGCTAGACAGAAGGAAAAAGGTGAGCCTGGGAAGTTTCAGGAAAGGGCACTGGCAGCCATGGGGGTGGTGGAAAGAGCAGCTATATGCAGAGAAGGACCGGGTTCAATTCCTGCTTCTGCCCTTGACCAACCATGGGCCTTGGGACGCAGGGCCCTGAGAGTTGCAGGAATCCTATTTGTAAAATAGACAGAAAATCACTTAACACATGGTTTGGGGGAAGATTATGTGAGTTCATGTATTTAAATTTCTGAACAAGAACCTCCATTTAGGAAATACAGCCAGTCAATCCCTTTCCACACGACTGTAATGCTCCCAGTTCTGCAGGCTGTTTCCAGATTTACCACTAGGGGGAGCCATAAGCCTGTCCTGGACGCCTCAGCCACTCTCTCTCTTTCTCTCTCTCTCTCTCTCTCTCTCTCTCCCTCTCCCTCTCCCTCTCTCTCTCTCTCTCTCTCTCCTCACCCTCCCTCCTCCCCCAACTGACTTCCTACCTAGGCAACACTTGTCCCATCTTTTCCCAAACAAGTTTCTCATGTCCATTGCACCTGGTCTGTGTGGTGACTCCAAAAGCACCATCTACACTTCTCCTCATTTTCTGGAATCCTGAACCTCCTTTAGCTCCTTCAAACCTAGTTATTTTTGCCCCATGATGGCCTTGTCATAAGCCTTAAGGGAAGAGAATGGCTGGAATGTGTCAGGGCAGAGTGAGACACACTGAGAGATGCCATCGTGCCTGCTCTGCCTGACCACACCTGGAAGGACAAACAGCAATACTGGGAGCAGCGGGCAGCCTGACCCTAGCCAGGGAGTACAGGGCACAGAGGCCTAGGAGTAGACAGGGGCTCAGCAGGGCATAGCAGGTTTGTGGACAAGGGGCACCACGAAAGATTCCCAGAGGAAGGGTTCAGCAGTCAGACAGGGAGAGGGCTGGGAACAGATTCTGAGGCAGAGATTCTGGATTTCTGACAAGCACTAGAGGGATGCTGAGGCTGCTGGTCCAGGGAGAGGCAAGGGTGTAGCAGAGAAAGTTCACAGCTGAGCGACATGGTAGAGACTTGGGTTCAATAAGCTCTGACTCATCCACTTAAATCATGGGGTCTTGAGCAAGTCACTTAAGCTATGTGACCTCAGTTTTCTCATCTATAAGGTGGGAGTAGAGAGTGGCCCTTACCTTGCAGGATCTGATGTGAGAAGCACTATCTGCTCTCAGCCCCACCCACTACTCCCCCTATGCTGCCACGCCTCCAGTTACCCAGGCCCTTCCTGCCACAGGACGCTTGCACTTGCTGCTGCCTCTGCCTGGAGTGTTCTTCACCCCATAAACTTCTATTCATCCTTCACATCTCAGCCTACAGATAGCTCC